GGAAAAAAATGTGACTTCAACTACTCAGAGCAGACGTATTGCCCATATGAATTTCTTTCTTGGGAATCCTCAGATGGAGTCACGTTACAGTGCGAGGGGTATGTGTAAAATGCAGAGATGCAAGGCATGACCATCAATGTAGCGTCTGAGTCATAGTGAGCACCTAGTGACAGTGAGACCAGAAGGAGACCGAACATGTGTCACTCAGTTAACTATTATACTTTAATGTGCCGCCAACAGCATCAAATCAGTCAGTAGAATCATGGGTTGATTGGATCACAGGGTGTTATGTATATATTTGCTTTGACACTAATGTACCTTAGTACTAATAACACAGTGCTAATTAATTATTTAACAGAACATTTGATTGGCTCATTACTTTATAGAATTATCAGGTAAAAACAATTTTGCTTTACAAACACGCGGAGTAACTCACTTTTCTTAATTTCAAACTTGAGACATCATGTTGAATAGCAGATAAATGATGCAAGATATCACTGCCATAATACAATTCTTGATAGTTCTTCATCTACGTCAAACTACTGAAAACAGTGAAAAACATCAGATATATTCTCCGAGAGGCCCAAGTGCCATCTTCAGGCTAAAGGCTCAATTTAACCAACAGGTCTTACCCCAAAGATATTCATTTTCAAATGACATAAAACTTGCTTTGAGATGTTATAGGCAGGAACTGTGTTGGCATTTATCGAGGAATACATAAAAAATTCCAAACAACGTTGATCTATGATTAAAAAAAAAAGAAGAATTAACTCAATTTGTGTCGATCAACTAATTTGTTGACAAATAGCCACAACACCAAACGTTTCCTGGCTACAGCCTGGAGAGCCAAATGTAGTGATTTTCAACTTTCGCTCCCATGTCATTGTGACTTGAACCTGTTTTTAGCTGCTGGTCACAAGTGTCAACAACCATGATGAAGTACATCGCATCAATAGTTTGTTTAGTGCATAGACAAATACTAAGCAGGGGCCAAATTTAGCCGGGTTCCACGCAGGCCAACATCACACACAGGCCTGAGTAAGCCAGGACCCATAAATGGGAGCAGTATGTGTGCAGAGGAACGCGTCCCTGTTTAATTTCCAAGAGACTGTTTTCACTTTCTAAACCAGTTAGTTCAGTTATTAGGGACATGGACAGTGAACGATTTAAAACATGGAAACCAAATACAAACTGTGGGTTTAGTTCAAAGCAAAAACAAAACTTCACCACTGACTCAGACAATGTGTTCATCAGTTCTGCTGCCAAAAACTTTCACTGCTTAGTTGGTGATGCAGTGGCTCAAATTTCTACAGAGGGGCAATGGATGAACTTTGTCCTCATAACTCACATTTGTCAGTGGATCAACCATGAAATTTCTGTTATCATATTCTATAAGAAGATATATCAGAGTACAGAAACATTATTTCCATTTCTTCTGATGAATTTCATTCTTTAGGCTGATACTAACTTCACTTTAAAAGGTACAGTGTGTAAAATGGAAAGGAAAGGGATCTACTGGCAATATAGAATGTGAAATATCCTACCAAGGTTTTCACTAGTGTGTTTCATCTAAATTGTACCAATTGTTGTTTTATTTACTCTAGAATGGGCCCTTTAAATTTAAATACTTTATATTTACATCTGGAGTAGGTCCTCTCTGCAGAGGCCACCATGTTTTTTACAGTAGCCCAAACTGAACACACGGAACACCTTTTGAATTTTCATGACAACTGAAGCTACCACAGGTTGTCTTTCATGTTTGGGAGGGTGAGGTGAGGGGTGTTCAGCTGCAACATGACACTTCACCACTAGATATCACTAAATTCTACACACTGAACCTTTACATTTAAGTTAAAATGAAGACACCACTTGAAGCTCTGGCATTATTTAATGCAGGGCAGTAGTCAAAATAGTCATTGGAGGGAAGTTTAAATATGGTCAAATTGTCCCCCCCCCCCCAATAAACTGAATTGCAAACTGGCCGGATGATAATAATAATAATAATAATAAAACTGTTATGCTATGACCATGGAGCGGAGAGGAGGACAAAAGATGACTGAAGAGAAAGTTAGTGTAGGAATCAATCCAAACCTTTTGCTGAAATAACTGCACTGTAATATTTCTGTTCATTGTTTGAACATAATACAATCAAATATCAAACATTGTGGACCCTAATGCGTTTGCTGTCTTATGTCTTATATTACCAAGCACACATTAGAATTACGATACCGTTTTAAACATTGTTTTAAATAACAAAATACATTAGCTGTGGGATTTTAGCTCCCCCCCATGTTTACTTCATAACTCGGGCCTTGATTTTATGTAAATGTAAGAACACTTGCTGGAAAGATGAAGCTCAGTTGACTCATCATCAGGTGTACTGCTCCGCCTGTGATAACTCATATATTGTATCTTGTTGCTCTGAAAAGACTAAACTGTCTGTGTGGTTAAAGCATAAGTGTCTGATGGACCCTTCACTCCTGTTACGTGTTTTCAGTGTTTACACGAATGCTGCTGCGGTGTTTCTCAGCTAGTAAACAACTTGGTTTGGTGTTAGCCACGCTAAGCTAGCCTAATGTCACACTGATGACGAATTTCACACTTTAGCCGGAGGGAGCGGTGCCCCCATTCCAGTCTACTAGTGTTAGCACGCTAGGCTAACCCCCACAGCAGCGTGTGGGTTAGGTTTAAGCTGCGCGTAGGTCGCTTAGCTCGGTGCAGGGTGGTGGGGGTGGTCGGTTCTTTACTTGTACGTGAGCCCGTCTCCCCCGTTGAACAGCTGCTGTCCCGATAACCCGTCATCGGGGACGTAACCGGTCTGCCCGCTGATCAGGTAGTCCGCCATGACGTCCGCCGCCCGGTCCTGTGTTCGGTCCCGGCTGATGATGGACCAAACTCAACCAGCTGCGATGGCAACACACGCGCACACGGAGGCCCGGGGACAGACACCGACAACTTTGTTCCTCCTCGTCCGTGTCGCTGTGCTCCTCCACGGTCACTCCTCCGTCCTGCCCCGCGCTCCTCAGCCGCGGAGACGATGTGCACCGCGTGTCACCGGCTGGTACCGAGGTGTTCTCTTCCTGCGCGCGCTCGTTACTCACGTTCTGCTGCGGCTCCTCCGTCCACACGTGCTCTACTATCCTGTGACAGTGTTTCCGAGACCGACGTCACATCCGACCGACACGCCCCCTCCATTTATAATTAGCGCCTTGAATGGTTATTTTTCTACACATTATCATACTGATGAATATTCATGATTTAACCATTGCATGTGATAAGATTGATGCATTGACAATGTCTAATTTATCAACATTAAAAAACAAGGATGTTGAGTTAACTTTCATTACAAATCATTTTCAAAAGCTAGTGGCAGTGAAGTTTTGACATTTTTGATTGGTGTTAATTTCTGATTTCTGATTAAACAAAATTGTTTAAGATTAATCTGTTAAGGTCTGTTTCATCTATTGGTCATCAGTTAGTTTCTGTACTGCACAGATTGGTTTGTGAGGGCTTTGGTAAATAATGAATCTTTAATTTACACCTATGATTTACACTCAGGGTCCGTAGGGGTCCTATAACAAATCTTTGTATGTAAAAGAGTACAAATCAAAATTTCTACTTAATATATTTTTATAGATTTGATAATAGTCTTTTATACTTGAATGTAAGAAATGCAAAGAAATTTCAATCATCTTTCAGCACTATGCAGATGTTTCATGTTAGGAGGCTGTTGTGCTTTGGGATAAACCCTTGAAGGTGCACTCCCCCCCAAGCTCCACGCTACTGTGTGAAGCTGAAACTGGGTCACAGGCGTAGGGTCAGGCAGTGCAGTGGGGCAGTTAATACTGTGTTGGCACACTATCACACCTAACTATATTAGGCCGTAGCAGATGCAGAGCTGGGACCTGCATAAAATGAGATGCCAATCTGATAATGTCAGAGGTGATGTGGGTTTCTGCAGCATGTGTTGAGAAACATACAAGTAATTCTACAGACTTTTATGTAATCCCATTATTTCCTTTAAATTCACTGAAAGCACCTTTGGACTCCTTTTACTGTTTTACATTGATGGTACTCATTGACTAATCAATGTCAAAGTGAGGGTAGGAATACAGTGTCAGCACACTTCTTTCTTTGATCCACATAGGCAGCAAAGATGCTTGAGACTCAAATATAGACAAGACGTTCCTGAGATTCATGAGCAGCACATTGAACACTTATGTTTGAGGGCTCTGTTGTATAATGGAGAATGTCCTATCAGTGTAATACCAGAATGGGGCTCAGTAGAATGTATACCCCAGTCCAAGACCAGATAGTCCCCCTATGAAACCATTTTGATTTGGATGTGCACTAATTGCACACACATAATATCTCTCCGCTAAACATGTCGGATTTATTTTCATTGAGCTCTATTAATCAAGGGAAATGTTGAAAAACATGATCTCTCACTGTTTAAGTGAAAAATGAAAATCCACTCCTTATCCAGATCTGCACCAATTTAATAGGTTCTTCTCTGACCAATACCACATTCATTTTGTGGTAATCTGTCCAGTAGCTTTTGCATAATCTTGTTTACAAAGAAACAAATGGACAGAGGTGAAAACAGGACTACGACAGTGCTTCAGTGTGGTGTGGATTCCTATAAAAAAACTTTATAATAACTAAGGGGCATGAAATATGGATTCAGTTATGTGAAGCTCATAATTACTAATCGGTGTGTAACTGCTTACAGCAAAGGTTGTGTTTATAAATCTCAGTTGAATTTTATCTAAAAAAAAAAACGTTAATCTTGAAAAATCAGAGTCAAGGTGGTTTTATGTTGAAGTTAAAATTTATATGAGCCTCCCGTTAAGATAGTAATACATATCTCCTCAAGATTTCATTTAACTCATCACATTTACTCCTGTAGTAGTAAAGAAAATGAAGGAAACAAACCACTTAAGACAATCACCCAATTTCATATTTGGTGTGTGAGTATAATGAAGACACGAGACACAGGGTCCGGTTTTAAAAACTCTCAGTAACTCTATTTCTGTATTAATGTACAACCGTTGAAAATTACAGCAATTTTTTTGTATTTTTCTTTGTTTTTTTCTTTTTTTAAACGATCTATCTATCAACAGCCATTTTCCAGAAGAAAAGTGAACAATGTGGGAAGGAAAAAAAGAGAAAGTAAAGAGCAAAAATAAAATGAGGGGGTGAATGCAAAGAAAACGAGAGGAGAGCATGAGATGAAGGGGGGGAGGCAAATTACCAGGTGACATTTTATTTTCTGCAGTTCGGTGCTTGAGCATGAGTGTGTCGATATGTGCATGCTGTGTTGGTGTCAGTGGGTGGTGCTGTAAGCGTGCGTTAAGTGAAAGGCTGAGATTACACTTGCTGCTTCAAAATAACTTCATCGTCTGATCAGCAGAGGTGCTAGTATTCAATGGAGGGGCTCAGGCTCACGCTTGTTTCGATCGACATCAGCTGAACACGATCAAGCACCAGTGTGAGAACGTAAAGAGACATGATTTCAGTAGTTTTACTTAGTTAACAATGACTAGCAACTGTATGCTGTCAGTTGTGGCTGGAGCACCTCATAACCAAGGGAGGGAGGTGTGCTTATTATGAAAACACTGGCGACAAAATCTATAGAGTTGTTATGTTAACACACATTCATCTTATTCTATAACATCTTGTACATATGAACATGCATCATACGTATGAAAACACTATTTTGTATGTGGGAGTATGTTGGACCACAAAGTTTTTTTTTTCCACACAAACACCAAGTTCATGTCTATGGCTTCATCCATACTACTACAGTTAAAATGTATTTTGGCTCTGCATTAGTTTTAATCCCTGTCCATACTACAATACCTGTAAACGCATATTGTGCTCGAATAATAGCTAGTCTCCTATGCATTTAAGCAGTAGTATCATTGGTAGCCAAGGCTAATGCTGGATGTCTTCCTCCAGAAGTGGGCCATCATATATGCATATACATATCAGTGAAGGCTAAATCGAGACCGAAAAGACCCAGTCAGCAAGAGGTTGTGAGCGTCTGTCATTGTTTTCCAAACATTGCTCTTCCTGCCCATCCAGAGTTTTCAAATTAAAATTCTCAGTCTTAACGGCTCTAAAACTCCAGAGTAGAGTGAAGGCCAGGCGAATCCACAGAAAAAACACAAAAACGTAGTTGTATGGATGAAGCCTATGAACAATCTGTGGCAGCGACATGTTTAATCTGGGATTATTTCAACAACTGTTGAAGTTCAAGAGAGGAAAGTGAAATTAAAACGTGTGTAGATTTCAGTATCTACACACGTGTTCTGACAAACCGAATAGGTTCTATAGTTACAACTACCAACAAGTGCCTGCTAGTCACGATTGTCTATATAAAACCACCAAATGCAGGCCGACAATCAGCAACATCTCTCTACAGAAAAATAACATTATTTCTCCCACAACTTCTTCATCTGCTTAATAACAAAAGCATTTTTATTAGTGCCTCTCTCTTTGTGTATTATTCCAGCATCACAAGAATAATCATGGAGAATAACAGCTCTCACTCTCTTTACAAACAAGAAACATGTTGCTTTTAGCTGCTCATATCAGCGTCTAAATGCTTTATGTGAAATAAAAGCATGCCCACTGTTTTCACACACTTGACGAAAACCTCAAAATTTGCCCTTAATTATCAGCTCGCAAAAGCTGCAACAAGTGTAACCACGGTGAGTGTGATGCTCCGAAGTCAAAACGTGTTAATGGGGATGAGGACGAGAGGAGGAAGGTTGAGATACAATCGTGCCATTCTGTGACCCTGCAGCATTATAGGAGTGAGGGGAGAGAAAGACAGAAAGTTAGAAGCAAATGAGCAAGTGTAAAGAAGCAAAAAGGAAGAGGTCAGTACAAATGCACCAAGAGATGGTCACTGAAAGAAGCAAAAGGTAGGTGGGCGAAGAAGAAAGGAAGTGAGGAAGGAGGGAGATGCTGGTGCTTTGCAGTCACGATGGAGCTTCAGGTGTCATGGAAATCCTTCAGCAGCGTGCGTCGCCTCTGCTCAGCAATGTGCATCTGATTCTCCAGATCCTGAAAGACACAGACAAACAAACAAACAGTCGTTGTAGCTAAATTATAAGTCATTACTACAAAAAATTCAACAAAAGACCCAAAACAGTTACTGATCTTATTACTCTGGGCCACAGAGCTCCACTAGCTTCACTGTTCTCCAAGAATGAATAAAAACAACCTATTAGCCTAATAGCCAGGCTGTTGTACTGGGCGAATTGTTCCTTTATTACCACAAACAAACACTGTAGTTCCGACTGAAACCCACAGACACTCTTCTGGCCTAAGGAAAACTCTGCAGATCCTCTTCAAGATGAAGGGAGAGTTTCTAGCCACAGGGCCACATCGAGACTGAACTTGGCACTGAAAGAACAATTCCTAATAGAGAGTTTTTTACTGTGTAAAATCTACCTCTGTACAATAGTTATTCACTGCAACAGCTGCCCCTGTGAAATATCCTCTGCTACAGGTGTGTGTGTGTTAGAGAGTGCCCTCCCCCCTGCAATTTTCTGTCCCAACACGTCTGAGCCAGAGAGAAATCTAACCGAGCCCGACAGGTATTGTTTTTTGTGGCCCAATGTTTCCCCAAATTAAAGGCATGTGCAGCGTAAATCAAGTATACAGCCCAGCCAACATGACCAACCCCGAATATCATTCCATAAATGTTGTCCATGCCCAGCCCATCTGGACCCTTTTTGGGTCAGGCATCCTCATTCAGGTGTGTGTGCAGGTTTTGCATGTAGTTATTTATTCTCCGCACATTTTTATTCTTCTTGAATGTTTTTTATTTTCAATATTAAAAGAGCTCAACTAAGGTAATGTACCTGAATTTCACTGAACACAGCACAATGACAATTCTATTCAAAATTTGAATTAAAGTTTAAATAAAAAAACATTCTCAGTTAATTCCTTTTTAAAGTAACTATGATAAATAATGAAATTAATAAAATTATATTAATATGCATCTCATGAATACAACAATTAACATCCGCTCAAAGCAAAGGATCACCATGTTAACTCTTTAAAGTCTGCTATCCTCTGTGACAGCGAGAAAAAAAAAAAGAAGACTAATCTTGACATAAAAAAACAATTAATGAAAATTCCCTCATTTAGTATAAAACATAGCTTTTATTTGTTTGAAGTAATTTAACAAACAACTGTATTTATCTACTTTCAGGTGATTTTAACTGTTACCTAAAACCTTGACTTCCCACAAAACAGTGGTAGGGTTTCCGTGGTACTAAAAAACTGTAGGCGCCCCAAACAATCAGTATAAAACAGAACCATAGTTAATGTTAGTCATTGTCTCATACCCCTCTGTCACTGGCGCTGAGCTCCCCCTCGCCTCCCACCACTCCTCTCTCATAGCTGTCGGCTCGCTCCACCTTCCACGACAGGTTTTCTATCTCTGCTTCCAGCTGAGCCTGTTGATACTCAAACTGCAGGGGACAGATAAAAAACAGGAAATTCAGGCCAAATATAAATCAATTCCCCCGACTGAGAAAAACTAAGATGATTAAAGACACAGTGAATATTAAAAACACTAACAAAACTGTGAAATAAAACCATCATCTATCTGGATATGGTAAGTACAGCAAACACATTGCAATATAGATTCTGCAGTATAAAAAAGGCAGGGGGAGGGGTTTGTCACTCACCAGTTTTTTGCGTGGGCCAGACTCCATGTAATAGGCGTAGGGGTACGTATACTGCAGTGTGTAGCGACACTGGAAACACAAGGGAAATGTTCCTTCAAGACAGCGTCAACATTAACTAAACAGTATCTCAACATGGTTTCACGCGTGTATATCTATCAGAGATTAAATGGTTAAAAATAAACATCAGAGGTAAGAATGTCATGTTTAAGTCATGACAAACATTACAGGTATGAGCTTCACTTCACTTTTGAAAAAGAAAGCGAAGACTTTTGGCTTTTGAAGTATATTTCACAACCAAAGAGGCCTGACAAGGATGATGTTCCTTAAGCAAGTGCTGAAAAAAGTTTTGTCGTACTTATTTATGCCTGTGTCTTCATTGAAATACTCTGACACAGGACACATTCAGTAATTGCTCCGAACAGTCACACATCTCCTTTTCAATCTGACTGATTAAGAATTTAATTTGAACAAACTTTTTTATTTACTGACTCATAAGAGTGGCTTCATGGTTTGACTGCATAAAAAGTTACCAACTAAATCCCATACAAAAGTTTAATTTGACATTTCTTGTGTACCATGTCTGCCATCTCTCAGACCTTTACTCCTGTCTCTATTCACCCTTCCCTAAATCACACACTAACTCTGAAAAGGGGACACACACACAGCCACTATCTACTGTACCTTAGCCAGTAGCTTTGCAGCATTATGCAGGTACTGCCAGTCGATCCAGGTTCCCAGGTTGTTCATCACTCTCTCCTGGATCTTCTCCTGGATTCTCTGGTACGTCTGAGCCTCTAACTGCAGAGACTTGTTATGATTCTCCCACTAGTGGAAAAAGAGAGAAAAAAACCAAGGATATTCCTCTTGTGGATCTCAAGGCAAGTCTCTACAAAAGTGCAAAAGGAAATCTGTAATCTCCCTCTAGTCCAAAGGATGAAATTATAACAATGATGGAAATCTGGTCTCAGCAACGGCAGAAAGGTTTTAGTGTTGGTCTGCAAAGGGTAATCAGGGAAATCAGTTTACTCAAGGAATGTTTTTAATATATCAAAAAATTAAAACAAAAAATAAACGAGAATACAAAAAAACTCACCCTCTCAAAGTAAAAGAGGTATTTCTTGAGGGCCTCTCTGGCCTGGGCCTGCTGGCTCTGGTTGACTATATCAGGGTTTTCTTTGTAGCGACTGCACTCATAGTATTCACTGCCGTGAGTCTTCCAGTCACCAAGACACATCCAGCAGAAGTCTGTGAGGAGACACAAACACATGTGGACCCATGTATCAAACATCATGTGCAGTAGGTGACTCTTGTTTACTGTATATGAGGTAAATAAATGTTCAGCTGAATTATCAGGTCTAAATTTACAAATAAAACATATTTACAAATTGGATGATATTAACTTTGGTTGATAAATTATTTTCTTCAGAAGACAAACCAATTTAGATTCCTGATCTTTCATTTTAACCAAGTTTTATCTTTTACTAAGAATTTCTGGAAAATTCAGTTACTCTTTTAAACTCATGTCTCTTCTATTGTGATGTATTTTGCCACTAGGTGGATGCAAAGTGCCTCAGAAGAGCAAGTTCATATTTCATGGCTGATGCAGGAGGTATAAAAGACAAACTACTTACCGTGTTTGCACTTGGAGCATTGCTGAAAGAAACAAAGACAGAAAAGGAAGTCTTACTGGTGAACTGGAAACTTAATTTAACAACCATGGACTTTTACACTGACTTTGAATGAAGCTGAACAAACTGTCAACTCAATTTGTTTCTACAAAACTATTTAGTGCTTGATTTGACACATTTAGAGGAAAAGAAGAATATAATAGAGAAGCACTCAGTAGAGCGCATACCTCCACCAAGGCGAACCAATATGTCTGACTTTTTTTTACATCAGGATCCATAATCTACTTCCAAAGAAACTGATGAAATGGTTGAATAATGCCTTATGTTGCCATGTTAAACAGATGGAAAAATCCCTGAATTTTCTCCTTGTAACCAGACCAGCACCAACATATCACAGGTTCTTCACCGACTAATTCACTCCAACAGGTTTGCTACAAATTGATTCAGTACAAACAAGATGCAGGTGAACATTTTTAGTGTTTCCTGTGTTCTGGGTAAGTGTGTTTTCAGTTCTGACTCACCATGTGATTGCACCCTCCGTTCTTCTCAATGCAGATATTGCACTTTGGACACTAGAGAGAAATGCACGTTATTTTTATGATTTTAATCTGTGCTGCAGACTACAGTACATGAATGTTTTCAAACTGTAAGGTTCTGTGTGGCAATGTGAATAAGTATGTTTGCAAACATGTTTTAGTAACAGTAAGTATAGTATGTATTCGCCTGTGTGTGTGTGTGTGTTCACATGCATCATCATACATCTTTAGTGTGAGCGCTGATGTAGTTGGCTGTCTCTGAGTCGTCCGCACATTTGGTCAACCATTTTCGGATTGTTGCACAGTCTGTGGGTGCATGGTACATCTGACGGCATTTAAAACTAAGAACAGAATCAGAGATTTAAATCATCAACATTTGCAGGGATATTTAAATACCAGGATTGAATTTGCAAAAGCCCTCAGCACAGAATCTCTGGACTGATTCTGAACATTTGTGTGTGTCTCCTACCAGAAGACTTCACTGCAGCGACTACACTGCACCCTGCGCGCCCGAGGCTCCTGCACTTTGATGACAATGGGACAGTCTGCACCCGGACACAACTGCAACTGGAAGTGACTCTGCAGGTCAGAGAAAGAGACCAAGATGTGTGAGGTAAGTTGGGTAACACAAAGAATGTCAAAATGGAGAAGAACTATTACGATGATGTGTATAACTGTCCATCTTACTTTCAACTTTAGCATTGACATTGTTTTTACGGGCTAGTTTCAGGGAAGAGGTGTAAATTTAATTTCCAACATTGTGAGCATCAACAACCATCAAGGTTCATCAAGAACCTGAGGAACTACAACTGTCAATGTATTGGTTTGTAATTTGGGTGAATGATCCATCAAGAAAACACAAACATCTTATATTTCATACCATAACTTATGCAAAAAATAAATTTAGATAAAAAACAAGCTTGAGAGAGATGACTCAGATTTACTGCTGTATAAAAAGATTCAAAGAGTCACTTGTGGAAACACAAGGGCTTACTGAGTTTTTCTCACTCACTCTTCACATGCCTCTGACATCTCATTTGCTACACATGCAGACCTTGATGCAGCATCTGAGTGAAGAGCTTCAGCACACACACACAGACACTAACCTCAACGTAGTCTCTGAAGAGGTAGCGTCTATATTTGTCCTTCAGCTCCTCTCCCGGCAGCAGTGGCAGGACAAAGTCTTCAGGCATCTGCAGGGAACAGTCCTGAGCCATACACGAGATACCTAAAAACACAGAGTTTATTATGAAAAGCCCCAAATCTCTGAATGTTGGAGAAGCAGCACATACACACAAAGCCCTACAAATAAACTACACTCCTGATCTGAGAAAGTTCCTCTGTAGACGTGTGAAGGTTTCTAGAGTTACTGTGACCTGGACAGTGGTTCTGTCATCTTAAATGTGTCCTTCGTCCAGCTGATAGTGAAATACTTATCAGACCCACAAGGACTCATTACATGGACTTTTTCAGAGAGACAAAACTAGCACAGGGGCACATAATTGGGTTAGTGTGGACAAATACACTCTTGCACACACACAGACACACACACATGATGGTACTGAACAAAAATTGGCCCTCATAACAATATCTATGCATAAGCCGCTTTTAGATATGCACTGACATGCAATTCCTCTATATTTTCTGCAATTGAGGTGCTGTGTGAACGCAAATGTCTGAGTGAGACGCTCCGCAGCTTCTGCAGACTTAATCCACCTGACCTCCTAGTGTGATGTCCATACAAATCCAGGAGAAGTTGATGTGTGAACACAGCGGAGGATTCCCCGCTGGGTTCACCCCGAGTAAGGGAAAACTAAAAGAAAACAAAATCTCCCGGGGAAGAAGTGGTGACACGTAGAAGACACCGACGGAGATGTCAAGAGTTTGCAGTGATAAGCGCTGACAGGGGTTTCCGTGTGTTGTAAAGAAAATCACGCGATGGAATTAATTACATCGCTTCCTGCCTCTGTCTGCTGCACACTGCTGCTCCACCTCCCGCCTGTTTACTGCAGAGGATACGATGCTTTTACCCGTAGGTCATGTCTGAAAACGATTATACAGACGCAGATTTTTAAACATTGATAATACCGCAAAAAGGCGATTAACTCAATTGCCAGTAGAGGAGTTTTCGGATGTGTAAAGTTTGACAACATGAACACACCATGCCAATGCCAATTGTATCCATTCCCGTTGCAGACAAAAAGCCACATGTAAGTTAGTGTTAGTGAGTTTTGTGACCAGTGGAAAGGGGGCCATATTTGCAAACACTAATCTCACCCTATTATATCTTCTGTGTCTTCAAAGTCACAACAACTCTTGAAATTTTAACACAAACATGAAAAGACACACAAATGAGGATATGTGCACAGACACCAAGCAAGAATCATAAATGTTTTTGGTCATCGCACACAGGATAATTCAGTGATTGATTCCGTGAATCTAACTTTGGTAAATCAAATAGCAATCTGCAAACCCTGCTGGTCTGGCAGGAAAGCTGACACTGAGATAAACGTTTGAAAGGATCAGAGGCTGAAACTGTGATGGAACCCTGAGCACGCGCACTTGGGAGCTTGGATCAAAGTGTGACTCAACAACTCTAATACCAGCTTTAAAGACTACACACGCAGACACACTACTCACCCACTCCCACTCCGTCTTTGACCAAAACAGTGCAGTGCTGCTCCCAGCAACCTTTGCAGAAGGAGTGCTGACAGGGCAGTGCCAGCAGGGAGTCTCTCCGTACGACCTGTAGACATACGCCACACTGGAGGGACTGAGAGGCCTGAAAACACAAGTACATAAATCCTCACATACCAGCAAACACAAACAGAAAAACCCTGCACTAAAGAGATGGTAAGGGTCTGCACACATGCATGTTACATTTGAAATAGATTAATATATATTCAAAAAGGTAACAGGGAAATGACATCTGTAGCACTGATACTTAATTTAATAGTCATATAAAACCTTCTAAATAGAACCAATCATGTAATAAATCTAAATCTTTGAATTAGAAAAGTATATTAAATATAATAATAATATAATAAAAATGTTATGTAAATAAAATCTGATATTTTCCCCTGCATTATAACAACCAGAACCCTTGTACTTGTTATTTTGCTGCAAATATGTAAAGAGCAGTGAATAAACAAAAAACAATAAATATAAATTACACCTTCAAACTACCCACAATGTAGAATTATACTCCATTGTGGCTTTTATACCAATACACGTGAATGGCTTGAAAGGTTTCCCCAATGTCTCAAGAAATGCTGGTTATATTGGTTATATTTTTATCCACAAAATATATGAAAGATGTAAAAATAAAGATGATGATAGATGTAAGACCAAAGCAAGTGCATGTTGTTTTTGTTCGTCTACTAAAGATTCCTGATTTATCGCATCTGATCTGTTACTCACAGTGACTGATCTGCAGGTGCTGCTGGGCTGGACCAGAGCATCTGACAACATCAGGGACGAGTTGGACTTAAATCTGTGGGGGAACACGGACAGAACATCGGTCATAAGAGGATGAGACATCTAACCAGTTGAAGCTGCCGCGCAGAAGAAAGACGGGGAGAGAGAAAGACAAGACAAAACCAAAGACCAAACAATAAGAACCTGAGAATGACAAAATACAGTAGTTGCAGAGGGGAATAATAGACAGAAAGATAGTAAGGAAGTGCAAGAGGCTCATGAGAAAAGGGGAGAAAGAAACAGCGAGTAGGTGATGAGAACAAACGACTTCAAGAATGGAAAAAAAAGACAGGAATGGGGAGGAGCAGAGGAGACATACCTGTCCTGTATTTGTGAAACCTGCCAGTGAAAATGCACCAGGATCAGTTTTGCTACTGCTGGCAAAACCTGAGAGACAGAGACAGAACAAAGTCAGAGAGACAAAGAGACTACGAAGCTGCCTCAAATGACATTTAGGTCAGGGCAATTACATGTTTCTTCACTCACAGATAAGTCACTTGGCTGTCTTTACAGTCAGCTAATCTGCACTCAGCTGCCCAGTCTGCCTGTTCTTACTGTAATGGACAAAAAGCGGGCACTACTTCTGATGAGCAGGAAATACATCATGATCATGACCCTGCTGTAAACACTGATAAAGTAATATTTTTCTTAAAGATTCCAGCATTGAAAATTCAAAGTCGGGCATCGGAGAGTATGTGAATCTATTTTCAGATCAGATACAACGTCTTCAAAGAGTTACGCCAGGACGAATTGCAATTTTTCCCCCTGGAAATCATTTCTTTGCCACACAGTTGTTGTACTGCTTCTGGAAGGTGCGTTTTTTTAGAGTGGCGAAGAAATAGCGATTTAAGGCAGTGTAACATTAGCACTAGTAGCATATAGCTGTTAAAATACGTTATGCAAATTTGACAATTACAACATACAATTTACGTAAATGCACTAGAATCGGTTCCATACTCAACATCAGCCGAGATTGGAATCAGTATTGGGAAGAAAAAAATGGTATTGGAACATTTCTAATTTTCTTACTGCTGATATTTATTCTGGCTACTGAACAATAATTTAATAGCAAAACAAGTATTTGATTAATTGATTATTTCACAAAAAGACAACATATCATTGGAAATCTCTGCCACCATTACAATGAATAAAATATATCTTCTGAAAATATCTGCCTGTTCTATTATACAGAGCTGTATGCAGCTGTTTCTTTCTTTCTTTCTTTTTTTTTTAATTGATTGCTAGCAAGGCATACTAAGACAAAATTCCTCAATATATTACACACACACATACAATACACAGTTTTAAAGACAAAATGCTGCACTGACTGCATGAACACCCGTCTGAGTTACTAGCCTAGAAAACAAAGGAAACTGCGATTTTTATTTTTAGTATTATTTTTATTACGGTCATTGGTTTTCAATTGTTTCAGTTGACCAAATTAACCCAAGAGTAAAAAAATTGTTTAGCATAAAAAAAAAATATTTTAAAATTATGTAACCTCATGATCATTGTCCTTCATTCCCAGAGTAAGAATAATGCATGAATATTAATGTGCGCCCACGGATCAATGTAAACTGTCAGGCTTACGTTACTATCACTGCAAGAGTGAAATTACTGTAAGATAGATATAGATAGTAACTACTTCAGGATGAGAATTCTAATACATCCATATTGGCTGGCATTCGGACAATTTGGTCTGGGTCCTGCACCTTAAATAGTCCAGACGCAGCATCACTCATCATTCAAACACCTCTTCTCACTTCAGAAGCCATCTACTCTGACCTATGTCGACGCTAACTACTAACTGTCCTTAGACCAGAGAGGATTGGACCTCCATTGCCGGACGCTAATTGTAAGACACGCTATTCTGAACTCCTTCACCTGGTACAGCTGGACGAGCCACCACCATGCACACACTTACAAACAATAACATCTTACAATATTGTTCAACAGCAGTTAGTGATCAGCAATAGTTATGTACGTTAACATTAATGCTCAACTTTTCTGTGCCCTTCATTCTGTAAAATAAAGGTTTTCATATCAGCAAACAAAAAACGCAGATACTGATGTGACTGTGAAATGCTCTATTACCTAATATTTTAAGTAATCGTATTTCTGCCATTAGTGCAGCATTAAAAAAATCCAGCTTCACTCACCTTTAGTGCAGCAGCCACAGTGTTAACCTCCTCCGTCAGCGCCCTTTGACTCTCTTTATATGTCAGACAAGTGAACTGGTACTCCTCTGGGTCAAAGGAGTCAGCGCCCTGTTGCTCCACATCGCTGGCCACGCCTTCATAGTAGGCTGCAATGTCGCCCTGGTCGTCCTCCTCTCCACCATCGTCGTCATCATCCTCCTCCTCCTCAGAGTTAACACCGAAGTCTTCCTCATTGCTGTCCGACGCCTGGCTGTTCATGTCCACAGACATCCAGTCGACTGAATCAATCACCCGCACAGGTAGACGGCCTGCCCACCTGTCGGATCTCAGTGGTCCAGTTGGCTAAAAATTGCTCTTTTTAAAGTCCCACCTTCTTGCTCCTTTCTGCCCACCTCTCCACCCGATCGTCTCTCTTCTCGGAGTCACCCTGCCTTCTCGTCGGTCTGAGACACGTAAGAGGCGCACTCAGCAGCAACGGAAGAAGCAAAAGAAGTCACACTCCCCGTCACTCATTTGGAAAGCTGGTTAAAGGGTGATCTAAGGAGAGAAAAAAGACTGGCGAAAAAGAAAGAGGAGGAGGGAAAGAGAGGAGAGGAATGTGATACATGGGTGAAAAAGAAAGGGGGAAAGTGATAGGAGTTAGTAAGAAATAAGCTTATTCATATTAACCTCACAGACGGTGTGTTCTAGTAGAGGGAAACTCTAAATGATCATAGAGGCTAGCAATGCTCTTAAGAGGAAAAGAAAAGGAAGCCCAGCCGTCTGCATTATGACTACAGAGATGGTCCCACAGAACACTGTGTCTGAAAGACCAAGATATAAAGCATCTAAAGAAGTGTGAGTAGTACAGTACTTAGTTCCATTTTAGTATCATCAGTGGTTGGCCCCATTTTAACGCACAGAGATAACATATATTTAACTGTACTTCGTAAAAGTTCTCATCTTTTTTTCTTGGACAAACAAGATTCTTGAAATACCAAACTCAATGACACCCTGGGTGAAATAAATGTGCAAATGTACAAAAAAATACTCAAAAGCTGAAAAAAAAATGCTATTATTTTGACAGATACAGGGGCAAGAAATACCTTGAGAAACCCCTTTGGAGTGAACTGTTGTGCACTAATTGGAGATAGATATAATGTGTTAAAGCTAATTACAGACAGTTATAATCCTTAGAGTCTAATAGAACACACCCATTAAACGCATGCAGTGCTGGTGGAAAAAGTAAGTGCACCCTTGGATTTAATAACTGGCCGAACCTCCTTTGACAGCAATAACCTCAGACATGAGCTTTGGAACCCATTGATCAGAGTTACGTAATGTTCAAGTTTTAGACCATTCTCCCTACAGGACTGTTTCAGCTCAGGCATATTCTTAGAATGTCCACCCAAATTCTGCTAAGGCTACATCCATACTACAACATTTTCATTTGAAAATATGGCCGACATTAGCCTCTGTTACCAGTGTAGAACGCAACATGGATAATCAATTACATGTGATGCTGACCCTTTTGTCTTTGCTAACAGCTGTGGTGCAGCTAAATTCTACAATTTACAATGATGTAACTGCTGACATGCATAGAAGAGGGAGCACTCTGCAACAATTCCTGTGAAAAGCAACACAACTGTGTTGAGTAGTAAAGCAACCCCAAATCATCATGCTCCCTCCACTCTACTTCATTGTCATGATGTTTACTTGATGGCATGCAGTAGAGTTGGCTGCAACGCTGTTTAACTCTGAAACTCCAAAAGGGGTTTTAGATTAGATAAGTGAATTTTCATTTTAGGTGAACTATCCGTTTAAGAAGTCAGACTCATCCCTTGCTCCTCCAAAAATGTCTACTTCAGTTTTCAAAAGACCAAGAAGGCCACTGAACTGCACATGAGTCACAGTTTTAGGAAGAAGTGTTATTTTGTATTTCAGTAGTATTTTCTTATACCAAACCATCATGTTCCTTTGTGTCCAGAGAATGTGATTTTTAGGCCATGACATCTGCATAGCATCACAATGCTTAATTTATAAAAGCATTTTGATTAATCGTTAAAACACTGATTTCCTAATATCTTACGTATTCAGTCAACCTATGACATGTGGATAAAAATGCTAGTTTGCTGAGTTGTGCCACTCAAAGCAGCCAAATCGACTGTGCAGTCAAAAAGTATTACATTACACAAACTAATCAACTATCCTCTTCTTAAGTATGATGTTTTAAACACAATCTAGTGCCTGGTATTGCAGCAGGGACACAAACACCACCAGCCACTTACTACAAAACTGTTGACTGTTTCATCCATCCTCTCATTAGAGATTAAATGATGTACCAGAACCCAAACTGTTATGTCCTATTAACACTGAATATAACAGAATTTGGTTTGCTTACAAAATAGTGTGGCTTGACAACCGATCCACTTACGATGTTATGTGCTTTTCTAACTTATGAAAAACTAACACCTTCTTCATTATTTCCTTCCATTATTTCTACAACTCTACCACTTGTCTCCCCTTCAGTGTACCTTCAGTGTACCAGTCTACTCCCTGTGCCTGCCTCTAACTTCATTAAACTTCACAAAGACTGCATTTGAAATCAGCTCTTGCTCAACTATCTGTATTTTTCTACCAAACAATGTTGTTTATCAACTGAACATGTGAAGGACACAAGGCATGGGTGAAGGCTAAGCACCACCGTTTAGAGGATTAGTTGAAGATGCTTTAGCTTCAGGGATGAGGGAGACATACAAACCATATCTGCAGTTTACTTGGTCGCAAACTAGGCAGTAATACACCATAAGTGCAGAAAAACAGAAAGGCAGTGATGCAAGACTCAGGACATCAGGGATTGGCTCCAGCTCCCCCTGCGACCCTGATAAGGATAAGGATGTATTTCTACTTTTCTCCTAATATCACCCAACCAATTGGCAGAACTATTACATTTCTCTCCACGTATATATGTGCTGCAGCAGCAGTGACGTGTCGACATTGATCAAGTCCTTTTCATAATGGGCTTCTCCTTGTCTCTCAGAGTCTTCATATCCACATTATTTTTTTATGAATGAGGTGGGAGGAATAGGTTGACCATACCTGTCTCCCCCTCCATGAAACTAAGGTTACACTAATCTCCTCACTGATCTGCAGACCGATCATTGCAGTTTATTGGCACCGGGGTTAACCCGAGACTTCACGGGAATAATCAACTAGATTGAAAACAAGGTTAGCCGGGGAAGCCAGTGAGCCAGCCGGCCCCGGTGTGAGCCAGACGAACGCTCGCATTCCGCCCGGTGCAGGCTAAAAATAGGCAGAAAACTGGGTGACACACATCTTGCTAGGCTAATGTATCACAGTGACTCAAAGGCAGATTTGATAACAAGACGTAGGTGGTGGAAGAGATAACGGGAATAAACTAAGTAAAAACCGGCTCGGTACTCGCTGGACATCGGCACCGAAGCAGTAAACGACGGCAGCGAAGTGTAAAACCACACGGCGACTGGCTAATTTACCGTTAGCCACATTAGCCTCCAGGCTAGCGTGCTAGCACTTGCACTAAGCAGCGAAGTAACGGAATGGCAAACCAGCGAGTTAAACTGTGAGATGCTCACATAATAAACTTACTGGGGTTCTCAAGGAAAGATGTGAATTTAGCCTCCTAACAAGAATTTCTACATCAATGACTGACTAGGTGAGCCAGCCTCTTCAGCGCTCCCTCCCACTGCTCCTCCGCCTCGCACGCACTATAGTCCGGGGATTGAGATGTAAACAAGGCCCGCCGGAGCGCAGGAGTAAACAGACATGTTTCAGCAGACGCAGCGCTCGTTTCCCCCGGTTAAAGTCGGAGGTGTTTACCTGTGAGAGCAGCGTCGGCTCGGCGACAGCCAGGAGAGGGTTTAGAGTGAGGGGGATCCAGGGAGCGAGTTACACAGTGTTCGGCTGGATGGTAGGCGGAAGATAGACGGTTACAGGGTGCTTATCAGTGACGTCACATCCGCCTTTCTCAGTCTCCTCTCCTTTCCTTTCCTCTCTCCCCTCCTCTCCTCTCCCCTAAGTGTTTCGGGGACACTTTGCTCTTTCTCCACCGCTGCACCAAAACTCCAACACTCTCTCTCCTTCCCATCATACGATTCTCCCCCTTAATAGTGATTTTCAAAAGTAATCTGAAACATTTTTACTCTTTAGCCTTTCAATGTGCCTAAATGTTTGAGTGTTGTATTTATTGGCATTTCTTGGGAATCCAGCCCTGTTGCACAGTCTTTCTTATTGTATGACAGTTTATCTTAATCACATGGCAGATATAAACACACAAGTTCCTTTAAAACACTTTTTAACAGCTGCATAGATTTACCTCCAGCAAATTGTCTGCAGGTCTAAATCGCTCAGGGTTTAGTTTCCTTGCCTGTACAGCAGGTGGCAGAGGTTGGACTGTAACTTCAGGTGTTGTGGCTCTAAATCTAAACGGAGCACTCAAAGTGCTTTAGGTTAAAGGTATAGATCGATGGCTTCATAAATAATGCATGACACTCTGCTGCGCTTCTCAGCGGCGCCGAAGAGAAGCAGAGGGTCGAGCTGCTGGGGTTAATGCATTGGTAATTGGTCTTGGTTGAGGGAGATACATCGACTAATGTACCTGATGGTGCCGTTTGTGCTCATAAAGAAACGTTCACCAAGTCCAGTCAGGAGATATAGATGAAAAGTTAGATACAGATTATTTGGAAATAAAAGTTTAGACTAGGATTTTTGGGAATTTTCAATTTAGGAGAAATATATAAACTTGGTCTTAAGTATTAGCCTGACTGGTCTCTATCATTACTGTGTCCCTGAATCCTGCAACAAGCTCTGAACCCCTGGGTCAGTGAGGGCCTGAGTAGATACATCTCAGATCAACACATTTCCAAACACCACATGGCCACATGATGAGGGACATGTGATTCCTAGTGAAAATTGTTTTAATTTTTAACTAAGGATGTGTTGCTTTTAAAGATTTTGAAATTTGAAAAAATAAATGATGGCCACAGACTTTTCTCAACACTCACCATAAAAAAATTCACATTTTTAAAATACACACAGGTCAATTCAAAAAGATTCAAACAATTATTTTGGTTGTTTTGCTTTTACTATTTCTTACAAAAATACTTTTCATACAAAAACTGCTAAATACTACAGCTGCTGTGAAACATATAGACACACAGTGTGAAACTGACCAGAGTGTAAATAAAGAGGATGAATTTGACAATGACACACCAGAAAACAGCAGAAAAAACAGTGAACCTCCAGGTATATAGCATCCTAACAACAAAGAAGTGTGAGCTGCGACGAGTTAAAAACACAATGGACAGCGGTGCTCCATTTGTTCATCCTGGCGTGCTTCTCATGTTTGCAAGATCGGAGAAACCTGCTAATATTTCTTCATTGTAAACTGAAACAGCAGAAAGTAGCAGAGCCTGGTTTGAGCCCATCAGGCCCTGTACAGGTTTTTTTGAGGCACACCCAATGATTATTTGCAAGAGAGCTGTGTGGAACAGCTTTCTGGGTAAAATGACCAGTAGTGCATCTTCATGTGATGTTAGACACACAACTGTAAGCCCTGTTCTCACATTCATGTTGATTCGTTCAAGCCGAGACAACCTGGAATAACTGTTCAGCACGAGGGCATGTCTCTCTGTTCCAGATTCAATATCGACCATGCCTCTTTTCAACACTGGCACGTACTGTATCTCTATTAAGCTCTCATAAAGAAAACTAACAAGACAGTATATGAGCAAATGGGCACACTTACAATGATAGTGGAGAAGGTTTAATGGACACAGTCTGAAAATCAGTTCTCGAAAAACATTTTTATCCTTCCCCTCTTCCTCTTCTCCTGCCTCCTTTCTTTCTGTCATCCTCTTCTACTTTTCAGAGATGACTAGATTAACCTAAACTATTTCAAATCTGTTGTCCCACACATTTTATCCAATCTTTAAAGGCATGTGAACAACTTATCAGAAGCAGAGTAATCAGCCATGATTCATCAAAAACATTCATCAACAGTTTTTAATCTCCAATATTACGCCTTCTCAAAGGGAAACAAATGTTTGTCTTGTCCTTTCTTTTCTCGTTTTGTTTTCTGCCTCTTCTTCAGTCCGCTGCTGTTCCCTCCGTCCTCCTCCTCTGCTTGTCTGTTTTGAGGCCAGGACATAGCCAGAGTTTCAGATGCAGTCTTAGCTCCTGGACTTTCACCCTCACCTGCCTCCTCATCAGATGAAAGGTCACCGGTGTTGTCTCCCTCAGCGAGGCTCCCCAACCCAGGGTTCTTCTTGCCGTAGCGCTGTCGAAGCCTCTCTCTGATCAGAAGTCCTTTCACCAGCAGAGTCCAGTTGGAGACTGCCCGCTTTTCTAGTTTCTGGAAATTGGAGGAGAAGAAAAGCTAGTGCATACTGCATGGATGTCCAGAGAAGGCTTCAAATAACTGGTTTTGATTTAGATGATCAACAATTGAAAAATCATATGCATTTTTAACACAACAGGCTCCTTTCAGGGATGAAGAAAAATATTTAACTTAAAGCTTTGCTGCAGCAATGGGAGATACTGTAGCCAAGGAAAAGTCATGCAAACAATTCCTGCAGCAAGTGCATACATTTCTTCACCCTCCGATGATGAATTATCAGGACAAGGAAGCAGTTCTGTGCATCATCAACACACACACACACCTCTCTCTCCTTCTGTCTCTGAAGCTCTTGTTCTTCCACCCAGGCAGCTCTGAGAATCTCCTCATGTTCTTCACACACAATGTAACCATCAGTCCTGAAACACAAAAATTAATTTTGTATGAGAACGATTATTTATAATCATATTCCCTCACTTCAATTGATTTACTCAAGCAGATAAGATCAGATAAAAATGAGATGACTTACACAGCGTGTGAGTATCCTCCATGGAAGTCGAAGCCTGTGACCGCAGGGGCGGCTTCGATGCCCAGCTTCCTGGCCACGCGGTGCAGGTTGGGCAGCTTGAGATGAACACAGCCTACCGGTAACATGCAGGGCTTAAAGAGGTAGACGTTACCGTAATCGTTACGGGGAACCTGATGGGAACAAACACACACAACACGTAAATAAATAATTGTAATAATCATGATAATATTCTAATCTGTATAGCACTTTTCTAAACAAACTTACTAAGTGCTTCACAGCAGGATAAAACAACAACAAAATGAAATAAAATAATAGATGATAAAGTTCTCTGCTGTAAAATTAGAATAATTGTCTCCACATTGACTCTACCTTCCCATCCACAGCTATAGGCGGTAGGTACTCTTCAGTCTGCCATTCTCCAAACAGAGGAAGGTCGTTCTTCTCCTTCAGCTCAGACATGATCCTGGCCTTACGGGAACGATTAGAGAACCCCTTCACCATCTGACAGAAAGAGAGACCATTGAGAGAATATTTATATTCTATCAATCTACTTGACTGAGTTCAGACGACCAACAAACACTTTTGAATCTCAACTGAGTCAGACAGGTTAGGGAATTAACTAAAACAACAGTATCATGTCTGTGAATACTGAATAAATATGGAACTAGTGGGGCCATGTTCACCACATTATCTTGTAACCCCCATTTCATTGTCTTTTATATTTTATTACTTGTTTTGTATTTCACTTCTTTTGATTAATCATTGCTTTACATTTAAACTGTTAAAATCTACTATAATTATTATTATTATTATTATCATATTTGTGTCTAATCAGCGCTGGCTGACAAGGTTTCCACTGCAATGCACCATGTTACTAGATATTAATTGATCCAATTAAGACAAACTTAGATTTATTAGCACCATTGCTCCTCAAATTATTCAAAACACTTCTACTCAGCAAAATACCATTGCCTTATTAAAAAACTGATGCGTTGACATCGACCAACAGCACATCAATCTTTCTTCAGGCTACTGATAAAATACTTGGGCTTTGCTAAACCACACATTTACAGTAACTTCACTGTGTATCTGGCTTTATTTGGCTCCACTGAGTCTCATACTTAAGTGACTGCTGTGGAAATTCTTCTAAGAGGTATTTAGGGGGCAAAGCTGCACGCCATGAACTGCTTTTCTGAATAACCCATGAAAAATAAGCAGGTCTCCCCTTGAAAATGAATAAGGTGCCACATAGTGAGGTAAAACTATGCAATCGTAGACAGTGGTGGTTAATTTTCAGACTGAAGTTTTAATTTGGATGTTCCTTAAAGCAAACTGAAAAAAACAGACTTGATGGATGGAAGGGCAAAGTGTTCTCTCTTACTTTGTATGGTTCTTCCCCAAGTCTGACAGTCCGTGCTTCTTTCAGCCATGTGTCTTTGGAGTGGAGGGTGTGCACACAATCCCTAGAGAGAAAGATTTAAACATCACAAAAAGATAAAACATGCATTTATAATATTGATATTCCCATTTGAAAGATGATTTAAATGATATTCTAACACCAGACGCAGACCCAAAGTCTTCTAAGTTCATTTAGGATGTATTTACTTCAGCATGAACAGTGCCTAACAAACACTCACAGCCAGCAGTTCACTTTTGGAGATGAAAACTCAAACACAAGAGTGTGAGAAAAGCATACAGCACCACCAGGTGGACACTGAAAACTATAGCAAGTGCATTTCCCTGTTGATAACAGTGGTAAACCTGAAAAACCTTCATAATTTTTTGGTTGGAAGCACCACAGACAACTGGCAAGAATCTACCAGATTAATGGTAGATATCCCAATACATTATAATCTATCTACAACCCTCCGAGATTCACAGAACAACCTGTTTCTTTGTTATTTGTCATTTTTCAAGTGATGGATGCACGTATCAGTGCAAATACCAGGTTAATAAAACACATGAAGTTTGGACAAAGGGATCCAGAGACCTACAGAGGATACATCTGTTGACTCCTCCAAATTCAGACCAAAGATGAATATATTCCTCACACATCTAGAATGACTCTTACGAAGTCATTTATATTTGTTCCAGAAACGTGGAAATGAGGATGCAGCCCCTGAAGTGGGATGAAGAAACTCACTTCACTAAAAATCACACGTTAGTCCTTTCCAAACCAGTTTTTGTAATAAATTAGGGTCACACAGATTATATTATATATATTGACTTGACTACTGCAATTCCCTGTATGTGGGCTTAGACCAATCATCTGTTAAATGCCTGCAGCTCGTCCAAAATGCTGCGGCTCACCTCCTGACTAAGAAGAAAAACAGAGACCGTATCACCCTCCACTGCCTTCCTGTTCATCACAGGATCGATTTAAAAATGTTACTGTTCATTTTTAAATCTCTTGAGGGACTGGCACCGCCTTACTTAGCCGAACTTCTCCATACACACACTCCAGTTAGGGAGCTGAGATCAGCCACTCAGCTACTTCTGAACCTAAATCAGGGCTCATAACCAAAGGTGATCGCGCCTTCTCAGTAGCGCCTTCAACTTACCACTCCACATTAGATCTGCCCCCTCTCTTTCACACTTCAAATCACTACTAAAAACACATCTGTTCTCCTTGGCTTTCTCCTCGAGTTGAGTACGTTTTATCACAGCTGATTATTTTTTACTCTTATGTATTGCATGTTACAGTCTTCTTGTTGTACCTTGTACTTGTGAAGCACTTTGGTCAACCAAGTTGTTGTTAAATGTGCTATATAAATAAAATGTATACTGACATAAATGCATATCATGCAATGTAGCACAGACCTGGAGTACACTGGCTCTCCTCTGCAGTATCCCAGTACAGTGGCTGTTGAAGGGTAGATGGCTTCATACTTGAGCATGTGTCTCTTTAAGGCGTACAGTGGGTGGTTCTTGTACTCCGCTATGGAGATGGGCAGGGGTTTGTTGAGAAGCTTATTCTGGAGCTGGATGGAGAACAGGAGAGATGGGTGGTATCAGTGAGTGTAAAAGGGTGCTGAGCTTTTAACCTGATGAGATTAAACATGTTGAGTAAAACGTTGCATTTTAATGTCTCATTTATATTAACTGAATTCAAATGTTCACTGAGAGACTCATTGATATAAAGATGGACGATATGACTGCTCTGCAAAACTGAAGCCAAAGTGTCTTGATGGCTAACTAGAGACAAAAGAGAAATACATTTCTCTCAAAACTTTTAGGTTTGTCCAATTAAAACCAAACTAACATTTAAAATATGTCTTGATTGACAGCTGAAACTGTCTCATGATTGGTCAAGCTTGTGTATATCGACAGGACATCACTACACTGATGCCATCCCCCGATCGCAACTGCGTAGACTCTGGCTTTATATGTGCAAGATGGCAGCGGTCGCTATTTTGGCTTAATTTCTGACGATGGGAGAAAGTAAGGAAATGTTGTCCATCTTTATAAAACAGTCTATGGTTTACTTTACACTGGGCTGCTACAGGGGTCCAATTCCCCAAACATTATTGAAGTAAGACCCACTGTTTATTAACTTTTACTACCTGGACATGAAGAGACCAGGCAGACACAATAATTAATCAAACCTTACAATGATTTTAAGAGGTGAGTTCATGCATGTGGGTGTGTTAGTTTGACCATGTTTATAAAATAGATGTGGGTCTCACCTCCTTGTCCTCCTTTTTGTCCCTATCGTCCTCAGGTCCCAGGAATGGCTCGAGCGTTTCATCCCACCAGTCTTCATCCACCCGTCTCTTCCTGGATGATGTCATCCAGGTGGGGTCGTACTTCCTTCCCAGGTCCTTTAAAAACCCATCCCCGTCCACCGACACCACATACGTCACTGGTGATGTTGCATTCTGGGAGCAGAGGTGAGGCATTCCGACACCGTGCTCAACATCCACACAAACCCAGGAAGATGTTTTTTCTAGATAGACCTCCATCCATTCGTCCGCTCCAGGGCCCTTTGTCTTCTTGCCACTCCTTCGCTTTGTTCTGTTATTTACCTTTCCTTCTCCTTCTTCATCCTCGTCCTCATCTTCTTCCCACTCTTTGTCCCCCTCGTCTTTTACCATTTTTTTCCCTCCAGTGTTCTTATTGTTTATCACTTTCCTCCCTTTCCCCTTTGATGGTTTAGCTTCACTCTCTGAATCCTCACTGTCCTCCTCGCTGCTTGCCTTAAACTCGTCCTCATCGCTTAGTACCTCTTCATCTTCGCTGTGGCTCTCCTCCTTGTAGCTGACCTTTGAAGCGATAGTGCGGCGCTTTGAGTTCTTCGGTCTCTGTCCCCCAGATGTTACAGCCTTTTCCTCTTCTTCCGGTTTTTCTTTTCTCTTTGCTTTCTTTCCTCCTCTGTCTCCCTTGAATTTTCCCCCTGCAGCTGGTCTCTTCGTGCCAGGAGAGACCTTCAGCTGAGGAGAGGTGGTCTTGGAGGTTTCTTGGGTTGAGCAGCTCTTTCCTGAAGCACCAGGAGATGTTTTTGCTCCTTTGCCCTGAAGAAAGACATTTAGTATTTGTAAAAACAAGTCTTTTAAAATCAAACATGAGCAAATATTGTATAATCAAAATATTGGAATGAGCAGTCACATAAAAAAGCAATAGTGCAACTCAGTATGTAGCAGAGAAGCTGTTTCTGTCTTACTACTCTAGTTTTGCTACGTTGATGATTAAGTGCATAACATTTTCCAGTTCCAAACTAGGTGTTCTCGTTCCCTAGAGGTTATTTCTGCAGTTTCCAGGGGATACATGGAAAGAATGTTAGAAGAACTATTAAAAAATGTAAATTAATCATGTTGAGTAATTATTAGAACAAACGTGCTTGTGTCAAAATGTTCCAATAAAAGAAGTTTGTTCTGTCAAAACAAGACATTTGTAGACTGGAATTTTGGGGGCTGCCACCCTATTTGTCATGGATTTGTTTGGGAAGCACTTTGTTACCTTGTTTGGATAAGTGCAATACAGATATTACCAATATTGGGGAGTAAAAAAAGACAGGCATGTTAATCAGGTAATCTCTTATATTCTTGTGACTTCTAGACACCAACATACTGATCACTTAATGAGAAGGGTGGAAGACAGAGATCTACAATAAACTGTTTGTGCAGGTTGGGTACAGCTGCTGCTTTAACACCTGAATCCTCTAAAGAGCTCAGTAACAGTTTGTCGGTACCTTTGCTGACGGGGGTTTCAAAGGAATCGGCTGCAGAGAAAGAACCAATCTGCAGAAGAACTGCAGAGACCTCAGCACTAACAGGAACAGCTGTAGGAAACACAAAACAAGGAAACGAATGACCTCCACCACTTGTAAATTCACACAAAGGCTGTATTTCACTTCATTTAATGGACTGGGTTTTGTGCCAGAATACCAACCTGAGTCATCTCCTGGTGGTTCCTGGCTGATAGGCTGGCTAGCCGCCTCTCCAGGAGAGCCCGGGGGTCCGGACACTCCTCATAGGGAAGACTGGGATTGAGGGTGAATGTTGCTCTAAACCTGAGAGAAGAAAGTGATTTATTTTAACCTGTTCATACCTGTCAATTTCAAGCTCAATTCTATTGTCTCCATCATTTCACACACATTGTTTTAACAGTCTGATTTAAAGGGACACACCATTTGAGCAGTCCAGAGATGTAGTTTTGGTCGATGCGTTCCTTCAGGACCATGCTGAAGTGGCCGGGCAGCAGTGACAGAGTGATGGCCAACAGGTCTGGTTCACTGCACAGACGGTTGCGAAACATTCCACTGGCTATCAGGCACATGAGGTGGACCTGACGAGACACAATCAGAGGTTTGTGATGGTAAAAAATATCCAACTGGAGTTAATTCAGTTCAGACAAAAGACCGTGAAGCAGCATGAGGGATGAGGTAAAGTGCTGCATGTGTGTTTTCACCTTGTGTGTGTCTATCAGCAGGTCTTTCTTGCATTTGTTCATCATCCGCCTCAGATACGACTCAAACTCCGCCTGCCTCTTCTGCCTGGCAAATCAGAAATAATGATCAATAAAATAAGAAAGATGCTACAAAACTCATGTTGTCAATGTAAATGCCGAACAAACATTAGTAGTAAATACCACAGTAAAATGATCTTTTAATTGGTAATTGCTGTAGCTGACACAAAGCTTCGGAACAGGGTACGTTTTACAATCAAGTGGTTTCTGTCGACATATTTGAGACTTAACTGAAGACCCTCATGTTCTCAAAGGCTTGTTTTTATTCACAACTATAATTAACTTGACTTGAATTATATGCAGTCAGTATGTACACACTGTAACACAGAGTCACGTACTTTTTCCTGACTTCTGGTGTCTCAATCTCTATCTCAACAGGCTGAGAAGGAAGCACAGGTTCTGATGCTTCAGCTGGACCCAGTGGCTCAGCTAGCTCTGAAAAACACACAACACACACACACACAGTTGTTTCTCCATGACTTCAGGGGACATTACATTGTCTTACATTGATTTCTTGTAGACTTACTCAAACCTTTAACCATTGTTACCACTTAAACCTAACCTAAACTAAGAACCATGTACAGAAACATTTACATCCTCACAACATGAGTAATACCTGGACCACACACACACACACACACACACACACACACACACACACAGATACTGACAACATGCTATAGCCCTACAAGATTTTCTAAATTGACAAACCAGTGGGAAACTGATATTACACACAACAGGCTCACATTTTTTAAAGCTGATGTTTACCTTCCACTTCCTCCCAGTCATCCTCGTCTTCCTCACTGTCCTCCTCCTCTTTCTCTGGTTTCTTGGCGTTTACAGTAACCACAGGTGGTGGTGATGTCACCATGTCAAAGTCGTCCTCACTGCCAATGTCCTCCTCCTTGACTGGTGACTGGAAGTATTTACTGGTGTTGACATCAGTGGTGGTGCTGGTGGTGGATTTGGAGGGAGAGTTTCTCTTCGCCACCAATTTTGAGGACAAACGTGAATTGGGTTTGATCTTCCTCTCCAGTTTCTCCTCTTCCTCTGTGATGCCATTATCTGGACGAACAGACATAAAGAAATGGCTTCAAGCTGCAGTTAAAATGATCATATCAGTCAATACTGATAATTCTCACCACAAATGTCAAAATATTTGTATTTCTTTTAAGTTTACAGTGTGACAGCTTTGCTTGTAAACTCGTCTTAATGAGCAGATAATTAAAAACACTGGATAAACAGTAAAACATTTTGCAAATCTGATATTGATCAATTGTGCTGTACCTCCTCCCCATGCTTGAACAAAGCACAAGCAATGAATTGCTATATGCTAAACTTTATTATTATATATAAAAGTTATAATGGCACATTTACTGCTTTTGATTTATTGTCCAACCCTATGATAAATGAATAATATCTCGATTTACTGAAGTTGATATTAATCATGTGTATCACTGAACCTGCATAATTTAATCTACACTGAAAATCAGCCCGTATCTATAAGTATACATCCAAAACAAACAATAATACTTTAGCATGGAATATTTTATACGTCTTCTTCAAGTAAAAACTAACTTTGATCAGAGTTGAAGACACACACGCCCCTCTGCTGTGGCAACAAGTAATCGGACCAAGTTTAGTGAACAATCTCAGTTTTCCCATTCATCTTGAATGCACAGTGGTCGCATGTGCAGAGAGTAGTAGTATGATGAGTATAGCGGGACATGTTGTGTCCGTGGGGACTTGTCCATAGTAGAATAATGAGTAACTTGTCCTACCTGCCTGTCTCTTCTTGGCTCTTGCTGCCTTTGCTGTTCTGCTCTTCACCGTCAGCACCTGCCTCGGTTTCTTTGTTTTGACCTGAGTCTCAACGCTCTCTCTCCTCTTCGCCATGTTTCTTCTCTCTCTTCTTCTTCCAGAAACTCTTTCTGAACGTCTCTGTGTCAAACTAGCCGAGCAGCGGCCCTGCAGACGAACTCATGCTGTTGTGTAAGCTGAGGAACCCGCCGCTTATCCAACACTTCTCATTACACAAGGAGAAACTCCGCTCCGGATGTTTTGGAGGCAGGGCTTTGACGTCACATCCGCATCCTCTTCTTCTTAAAGGGATAGTTCACACAAAAATGAAAATTCACTCATTATCTACTCACCACTATACCGATGGAGTTTTAGGGTTAAACAGTGTTGCAGCCAAATCCAATACAATTGAAGTTAATGGTGATCAATTCTTCAAAAAAAAAAAAACTTGACATGCCTCCATATTGCTCCTAGAGGCATTTCATTTTTTTCTTCTGGCATTTCCTTTATTTGCGTTTGAAGAAGTGGTTGCTAGTTACTTCAATTGTGTTTTGTGGACTCAAACACCCACCCCTCTGTTGGCATTTTTTGGTGAACTATCTCTTTAAATGAATATTACATTTGGAATCATCTTGTGATTTGCTGTTGAACACTTTACTTATTTTGGGAAAAAACATGTTCATCCATAAGTGTAAATGTTTGAAAGCACGACCACTATTTACAGTATAAGTAAAGGACTTTGCAATGCATTACAAATAATTGATGCATATGAAGAAGAAAACAGACCCTCAGCTATTATTTATTTGATTTTAATTGTAATTTCATTTATATTCTTACTTGTATTTAAGTTGTATATCTGTCTACATTGTGTGCTCAAATCTATGTAGAGCCTATATATTGAAAAAAGTATACTTCATTAAAGAGAAAAAATAATAATCTCTGTGTAAAATTTCCTCATACTGGTGTAATACATAATTCTGTACACTGAGGGGCGGTGCTGTGCCACATTTGCGGCTGCACTGCAGGTGTCAGGTGCAGAGCTGAGGAGAGGCCTGTCTCTGATGAAGCTGCTCATACTCCTGATATTAAAGTATCATCATGTCCGCTCTGACAGTTTATTCAATGACACGTTCAGAGCTACATTCATTGGGTTTCATTAAAGAGAAGCTCAGGTTAGACGACCACAGAAAAACTCCAGCTTCTACATCCTCTGTAAATGCAAAACACTGCACCAGAGTCTACATGATGAATTTCATTCAGTAGTGATCTAATCTGATTCTCAGTCCTGACAGCCATTTCAAGAGCAAACAACATGTTGAAAGTTTACAGTGTACAAACAGTTATCAGTGAATAGTTTGTACCTTATATTAATGATATTTGTATATTTACAGAGTTGTTGAAATGTATTATTTTTGCAGATGATGCTAGTATATTTAATTCTGGGGAAAAATGTGAAGGAACTTCTCTGCACTATTGAAACGGAACTCGAAATTCTCTAAGCCTGGTTTGATGTAGATAAACTGTCTTAATAATACAAAAACTAAATTTGTATTGTTTTTGGAAAACAAACAGACATTACTGGTGAAATTTTAAATAAGCAATGTAAAAACTGAAGTGGTTTTGGGCTAAAATTTCTAGGGCTTGTGAATAATCATAAATTAACATGGAAACAAGATATTAGATGTATCAAAGAAAAAAATGTCATAGTCAGTAGCACTACTGTATAAATCTGGAAACACATTAAAACACTTTCTATATAATTTACTGTTCACTAATAGTTCCTTATCTATCATACTGTTTGGAACTGTGGGGGTCAACTTTTAAAACAACTTTAAATTCAATTGTTTTACTACAGAAAAGAGCCATACGTATAATAAATATGGAAGGTTACAATAATTACACACATTAACTATTTGTAAAATACCATGTGATGAAATTTGCTATATTGTAAAATAATGCAATTAATATCAAGAGTCAAATCAAAATCACTCCCAAGTTGTGTTCAAAGTATTTTTTTATTTCAGGACAGTAGATGTTTGTGACTTTGTGGTACAAAAAACAAAAAGGGGGTAAAAAAGTATGTGTACCTCCATATTTTTTTTAAAAAAAAGGTCTGTGAAGCAATTTTTTTGAGGGTTACAAACGTGAATAGTTGTATGTTTTTGCTTTGTTCATTCAAATCTGGAGGATTCATTAGATCAGATTAGATGTAGGACAGGCGTATACTGTATAAACATCTTGCTTCTGCCTGTGTCTTTTCAATCACCTCATAATCTGTTGACTATGTGCATATTATGAAGAATGTTTTCATGACTGGATAAAAAGTCACCACTACTACTTCTACTAAATAAATGCTCCACAATTACACTGTGACATTTCAAATCAGTCTAAACTGCAGGCTGCTCTATGCATCATATTGATCAACCGAAGAAATAATTGCACAATGGTCTAATCACGTTATTTTCACACCATGAATGGTATGAATGTAAATGGTGGTATATTAGGTGTTAATGCAAACTTGATATAAAACTTTAAAATAAAAGCATTAAAGGTCAGAGTCACACTCTCATAAGAATGATGCTTTTTGTAAACTTAGAGTTGAAAAAGTATCGGAAATAAAGAAACAATCAGACCAATAGATAATGTAATTTATTATTGATGTATAGATTTTTTTAGTGTTCACAGGAGCATGAGGCCATTGGTCAACTCTGGTCAACTATGTGACACAATCACCTGGTCAACAGGGACAGATTCTGAAAACATGTCGTCAAATAGAGGAGCTACTTTTAGGATTGACACTTTTGAGGTGTTGGGCTATTTCGCGTTCATAAAATGAGGTGTTTCACTAAATGTTGTTTATTTGCATGTGTAGATTTCAATTAAGATGTAGAACTTTGAGGCCATTTCTGTGGGTACCTCATAACCCAACAATCAAACATCAGACTTTCCAGGTGTATATCAATGTTCTGCAGGTTCTTACAGAGCTATTTAAATTGTTTTAATAGCTGTAGACAGTA